AAAGTTTAGAAAACATATAATGTTGTGGCAGGCGCCTGTAGTCCCAGCTACTTGGGAAGTTGAGGTGAGAGAATGGCTTAAGCCCAAGAGTTTGAGGTTGCTGTGAGCTGTGACGCCACAGCATTCTACCAAGGGTGACATAGACTCTGTCTCAAAAAAAAAAGAAAACATCTATTACATTACAACTATCTGTTAATATTTACCTACCTTTAGTTCTTATTTCAGTTGGAAAGCTTTTGACTGCAAGTAACATAAAAACCCTAATTCAGATAGCAAATGATAAGGAAATTTATAATCCCACAAAAGAAGTACAAGCAGGGCAGGCTTCGGCAACTCAGTATGTCACCAAGGATCCAGGTTCTTCCCCTTTCTGCTCTGTCCTCTTCAGTGCTGGCTTCGTTCACAGACTCTGGTAACATGATGGCTACAGCTGTTCCATGGACCCATTCAGACCTGGTAGCAAACAGGTGAAGAACATGAGTAATTCTTGTCCCCTTCACAGACTTGAATAACTCTTTTTCATAGGCCCTCTTAGCAAACCTCTCATGGTGTCTCTTCAAGTCTTTTTTTTTTTTGAGACAGAGTCTCACTTTGTCACCCTCAGTAGAGTGCCATGACGTCACAGCTCATAGCAACCTCAAACTCATGGGCTCGAGCAATCCTCTTGCCTCAGTCTCCCAAGTAGCTAGGACTACAGGCGCCCACCATAACACCCGATTATTTTTTAGAGATAGAGTGTCGCTCTTGCTCAGCCTGGTCTCAAATCAGTGAGCTCAAGCAATCCGCCCACCTCCCAAGTGCTAAGATTACAGGCGTGAGCCACCAAGTCTGGCATCTCTTCAAGTCTTATTGGTCAGGATAGGGTCATGTGGCCATTTCCCCAATCACTGCCAACAACAATGAGATTCCACTAATTGTCTCTGAGTAATACTTCTTTGGAGAGGAGAGTGTGTTGGTGGGTCTACAACACTGAATATTACAGTTCTGTGCTTTTTGCATATGACAGAATGTATAATTTTCCCCTAGACTTTAATCCACTTAAAGATTAATATTCTTGGCTCAGTGCCTGTGGCTCAAGTGGCTAAGGCGCCAGACACATACACCTAAGGTGGTGGGTTCGAATCCAGCCCGGGCCCGCCAAAAACAACAATGATGGCTACAACCAAAAAATAGCTGGGTGTTGTGGTGGGCACCTGTGGTCCCAGCTACTTGGGAGGCTGAGGCAGGAGACTCGCTTGAGCCCAGGAGTTGGAGGTTGCTGTGAGCTTTGATGCCACTGGCACTCTACTCAGGGGGACAGCTTGAGACTTTGTCTCAAAAAAAAAAAAAAAAGATTAATATTCTTTATATGTATGCCTGCTATGAATACTGTCTCAAATTTAAGTACATTTAAGGCCAGGTGTGGTGGCTCATGCCTATAATCCTAGTACAATGGGAGGCCGAGGCAGGTAGATTGCCTTAGTTTGAGACCAGCCTGAGCCAGAGCAAGACATCTCTAAAAATAGCCGGGCATCGTGGTGGGCACCTGTAGTCCCAGCTACTTGGGAGGCTGAGGCAAGAGAATTGCTTAAGCTCAAGAGTTTGAGGTTGCTGTGAGCTATGATGCCATGGTACTCTACTAAGGTCAACAATGTGAGAGTCTGTCTCAAAATACAAATTAATTAATTGATTGATTAATTTAAGTACATTTATAAGGAGCCTAAAGTTAAAATTTTGGATGCTTCAATACCCTTAAACTTTATATGTAGTTTTTATATTTTCACATTTGAAATAAAATAATTTTTATAACCTTAATATTGCAATTTTTAAATAAAGCTTATAATGCCTCCACCTGGAAGCCTTGTTTTCTTACTGCTTTGTTTATCCCTCTTACTTTTAGTTGTCCTTTCAGGCTCCCCAGCACCAAAAGAATCGACCTTAAGGGAAGGAGACTACTGGGCACAAACACTGTTTCTTATCTTACCACAAAGACTAAATCAAGATTGAAGCCATCCTGTTTTCTTTTCCCTGTCCCCTTTGCCACTTGGAAGCCTAATCTCTTACTTATATTATTATAAGGATCTCCTAATTACTCATCCTGACTTTCCTTAACAGTTCTTAAATGGCTCCCCCTTTCTTATAGGGACAGAAGGTCCTCACCTAAACCTGTACCCACCTATTTCTTCAAGCCCAACTCTTTTCCCTCCCTCCATGAATTCTCTTCTCCAACCACACACGAGTTGAGAAGTCTGAACATCCATGCTCTTTTACCTTTTCCTCCTATGTTTTGTGCAGCTCCTTTGAATTCCTATCATGGTGACAAACGTTCGTGTTCATTAAAACCCAGCTCACACATAAGTTTCAATAATCGCTGTCATGCACAGGGCTTTCATCATTTTTCTTTGCTCCCATAGCCCTTTGTAGATTTACAGTGGCACTTATGAGGCATTTTAATCATGTCCACAAATCTGTCTCGCTTGGCTTTAAGCTTATAAGAAGCAGGCATGATATCCCAATCGTCTTTGTATTCCCTGTAATTAGCATCTTCTGTGGCACACAGTAACCCCTCATAGAATGCTCTTCTAAGCTATTTGCTTAATGCAAAGTTATAGAGCCAAAGATGAAAGATTATTCTGAGGTGCGAGATGAAAGGAAAACAGTGGCCTGGTTTGTGCAATTAAAATGGCTTTATTTCACCAGACTATAGATGGGGTAAGATTTCCAACCAGGCCAGGATGAAATCCACACATGGGTAATGGTGAACAGGGGTTGTAAAGGTCAGGAAGGTGGATGGCGGGGCATTCCCTTTCCTGGGTTGGACATCTGTTGCAAGGGTGAGGGTTGGCCCATTTACCTTTCCGGGGACATCCAGGGGAGAAGGTAGAGGGTTGATTCTTTTAGGCGGGTCCACTCTATTTGGGCAGGGTTTGATTGTGTCACTTAATGGCATAGACGAGCATTCACATTTGAAACCTGGCTGAGATAAAATCTGAGTGAGTGACTTGCCTAGGGTTACTCAGTTAGGGTTAAGTAGGATACTACATGTAGAGTGCCTGGAACAGTACCTGGCATTTAGCAGTACACAGGACTGCCTATGTGTTTTTTTTTTTTTTTT